GACATTATAACCCGTTCCTGCTGTTCTTTAGCTGCAGACTGCTTACCAGAGTATTTATATGCTACAGCCACATGAGGTGGATTAGCTTTAAACTTCCAGACTGCCAGGAAATTTTAAAGAAATAGATGTCATGCCTTGAGGTTATGTGGACAGATGTTTTACAGATGCATCAGCTGGGAAGTGGCAACCTTCAGCTGTATGCTTGAAACTTGAAAAAGTGTTCTAAAAAAGTAGCCAGTTCTTTCCAAACTGCATGGTGTTTGTTCATAATGTCTCTGCTGACCTTGCCCTGATGGTAATCCTCTTTTTATGTGGTTTTAGACAATCTTCTCTATTCTGAAGAAAATAGTATCACTGACGACTAGAAATAAATGGGCACAAAAAAGTCCTTCCCTGGCTCACTCCCCTTCCCTCCTCCCAGTGCCCAGTACCACTTAGAGTCTGTCAAGAATTTGACTTCTGCTGGCAAGGACGTGGGAGCATTTGTGTTCGTGTACACTGGCATGGGAACGTGTTTGGGGACCGCACTGCCCCGTGGCTCCAAGGCCAGGGTTTTAAGTTCCTGTCCTGCCATAAACTTCTCATGTGGAAGTCGGTTAAAGTTAAAGCTGCAAAAATTTTAGGGTGCTTTATTCATGTCTCAGCCATCAGGGCAATCTCATGAAATGGGCGTTTCGCTGACTTTCCCTCATGTCTTCATCGCCTTCTTGCTCTGGGGATTTACTGTAAAGCGAGTCACAGAGCTGACCTGGTTTGAATATCTTCCTTTGGCAGGGAGGAGGGGAGCGTAATGTCAGCAGCTCCGAAAAAAATTGTTGCTATACAGCTTGCCTTTTCTTGCCAAACAAGTATATATGCCATGTAAAAAGGAGTGGCGGATCTGCGATAGAAAGCATGTGAATCTGTGAGTTGAGTGTGAAAGAGATGTTTCACACACCTGTGGAACACTAATAACTGGACAGGCTATGGGCCTTTCTCCTAAAACACTTAAGATGCTGGCTAGAGTTTCCTGATTGCTAGCTACTTGAGAAAATTCGTAACAAAACTCGTCTCACAGCAACAGCCAGCCTCAAGGTTTTCTAGTGCCATTTCTTTTGCACAGTTGAATTACTTTTTGTCTCTTCTCTGTGTTTTTATTCTTTTTGTTGCTAGTGTTGGGCTGCAGAGCCACGTTTTTATTTACATATTCCCAAGAATATTCTTTGGTTTATTTAAGAGTAGGCTGTTTTTATGATACAGGCAAACATACAAAGAGAAATGATCCTGTCTAGGAAGGAAGAGCGATTAGATAATCTGGGAGTAGTTTTCCTCTATTGCTGTCATGTCCTTTTTTCAGGGAGAACTTGTCATGGTTTTCTTTGTATGTCTGTGCAATCTGGCACAAAAATGGAAGGATTAGCAAACTGATCTGTTAGGAGCAAAATATAAAAATTGTCCCTTCTATTTAGGGACCAACACTGATCAGTGTTGGATCTGTCTCAATGAGTCAGCTAGATGACCTCAAGCAGAACATGCTTTCCATGTTCCTGTGGTTTCAGTTCTATCAGAGATAAACTTGTTTCCATTAGAAGCTGCAGAACCTAATCACTATGCCTAAACAGTAAAAAATTTCAAGGCACAACTCAACTGGAAAGGAACTAAAACCACAACAAGGCCTGCGCTATTTAGCTTATGCATCCAGTCCTGTCATCATCTAGAAAAGATCAGGCCCCCCACTCTGCTCTCACCTGGGGTGCTAACGAGCAGGAAGCTAACTGAGGCTCATGGCTCATCACCTGCTGGAAAAGCAGATGGACCATGAGAGATGTCCAAAGGACATGCAAACACAGCTCCTCTCTCACAGCCCAAACAGCATGTCACCAAATTACGGGGAGCAAAAGGAGTCTCTGCAAGTCTTTGCCACTAAGAAGAAGAGATTGACACCAAGAAATCCTATTGTAACTGAGCTACTGAAAGAGAATAAAAGGGAAAGAAAGGAAAGGAATACCTCTAGGCTTGGGAAACCAGTTGCTGCCACCGACAACCTTTCAAGGTAGTTAAGAAACCTTGCTCCTCTTCCACGTCAGTTTTTGACTCCTCCTTTGCATTATTAGCACCTCATGGCTAGATAATTTTTGTTTAACAGTGGCTAATGGCAGCACCCCAGAGGGAAGAAAATTCACTGATCACCAAGCACAGTCTGGGATATTAATTGACATCCATTTAAAAGCAGATTCTGCTGCAGATCATCTCTGTGATTTTGGGCAAATCGGTCTCAAATATTTGCAGCTCAGATTTCCCATTACAAAATGGGATATATTTCATTTGTTCATATTTTAGGAGTGGTTGTCAGCTTCAACCACTTAGAGATTTCTTTCCAATCCTGGTGAAGAAACACTCTTCTAGTACTATGAAGCTTGAGAGCACTTTAAGTTAATTTTAGTTTAATTAGTGTTAAGTGTGGTTTCCTATTCTTTTATTAAAACTGTGTTTTGTCATAACAGCTAGATGTTCTTACTGGATTTATAAAGATATGCTTCAAGACTGAATTTGTGGAGATAAATGGACACACTTAGAGATTCAGTCCTTTTTTCAGAAAAAATGTTTCTGGCCATTAATGCTGCATGGAGAACACCCGGGGCAAGTACAGTGACCCGCACATTATGTGATAAAACCTGAAGCAGCTATAAGGCAGATGTAGAAATGAAATCGTAATGAATGAGTAGAAATTAAAGCATTAAGCTGATTGCACACTTGACAGCTTTCACCACACGCTCGCTGACTGCGGTTCAGGCTTACCTGATAATGATCAGAGGAATGAAGTACACCAGGAAAGCCACCACCGTCATGTAGGGTATCCAGTAGGAGTCATCAGGCCAGAGAGCCCAGCACTGCACTTCCCCATTGGAGAGCTTCCGTTTCCCAAAAATAATCAGAGTTGGTACAGAAAACAGGAAAGAGAGACCCCAGGCCACTCCAATAAGAACTTTCGCTTGTCTTTCTGTGCAACAGAATCAAACAGACGGTGTTAATGGGGGTGCTGGCGTGACCAGCCCCTTGTAGCAGTGCTGATAGAAAGGCAGGGAGGAGGAAGAAACTGGGTGAAGAAAGGGAATTTTGGGCTGCAGCTAGCTGATGCTGCAAAGACTGCAAAGGAGAATGGGGATTTCATCTGCTTCTTATGATAAACGGTCATGTCATCATGGGCTTGGATTTTACATGTTTTGTTTAAAGATGTGAAGGGCCCATTGAATCTGAAACCCTATGAGGAAGGCACTGGTCAGGGTCAGCAAGCCAGAAACTTGAGGTGTAAATGGTTCCTCTATGCCACCAAGACAACGTCGTGAATGAATGCGAAGGACCGCAGGCCTGTCCTGCTGCACGCTCGTACCCTGGCACAGAAAAGCAGCGATCAGCAGGAGAACACAGAGAGAAAAAAGGAGTCCTTGTGCTACAGATAATGGAAGAAGACTGAGACTGGGAGGGGTTACTTAAAACATAAATTAGGTTGGAGTGCACTGGTGAGGGAAATGTCCTCCTTGGAACAGAAATTAAACATTTTGAGGCACCTTGAAGCGAGAAAGCTCGCAAAACATTTCCTATCAAGAAAGAGAAAATACCTCAGTTCAGGATTGAAACAAAACTACACAACAAACTGTCTTTGACTCCAGCTGCAACTTTGCTGCCCCAAAGACACATGGTCTTGGAGAGCCCAGGCATCTCCTGCAGTTCTCTGCATCATGGTGGGGACCAAACTCAGCTCCTGTTGATGGGCGTATGTCCAAGCCACACCAAGGGTGGACTGCTAACCATGAGACAGGGCAGATGATGGTGGGCTGGTGCTCAAGTGCTCAGTCCTGTTTCATATGTCACAACAGACACTGACTAGGAGACCCTGCTGGTCAAGATCAGGTGCTGAAAGATCCCAAAACACTTGGCAGGTTTGGGCTACTGCTTCCCCTTGACTTCTGGCCCCCTCCATTGCCAAGTGGGGAAAACTGGTGGGAAACCAAATGATGCTTGGTGGCACCCATGGGATTTTGTAAAAATCAGTGGGTTGGGGCAAACAAACCCAAGGCTTTTGTTTTCACAAATCCACATCTTCTGGCTAAGATCCAGGTAGATCTAGCTGAAAAGTGTGGAGGAGAAGGGCTGATCTGTGGAGTACCAGTGATTCTCAGCAGCAGTTCTTCCTCCTGAGTCAGATTGCAAGAGGAACAGATGGGGACAGATTTTTTTGATCTGGAAAGCTTTGGTGCTGAAATACTTTATTGTCCTACAAAATACCCGAGGTTGTGTGTGAAATAGAAAATCACTTTAAATTATGCATATCAAGAAGAACGTCTTTCCTCCTTGAAGCTCAAAAAGCAATATGAAAGCGTGTGGGAGAAACATTCAAAAAGTAATTTTATGCTTTATAAAACATCAGTTGCAAATATTCACTTATCCTGCTCATTTTTAAATGCTACTCACGTTCAGCAAAATACAGTCTTGCTAATCTAGGGCTTAAGGGAACTCTGATGACATCTACGTAAGTGAGAGGGTTAGATTAAGTCTGTAAATATTGCACAGGCAAAGGAGATCTGTAAAGTTTCCCAAAGCATAATGGAATAAACTTAACAGGAGAAATATTAAGAGTATTTTCACAAAACATTTCCTGACAGAAAGAGGTTTTACATTGTGAGCTAGCTACTTGCATTACGTAACATACAAGCCTCAGTGGGGCCCACGTCTCTATTTCTAAGGGGAAAAAGTCATACTTGGATAATATACTGTATTTTTTGCACTGTGTAGCAATGCCCTTAATTTGAAGAGAAGCGGGCAATTTGGGTTGGGCAAGAGTGGTTTTTTATCTTTGTGTTTTATAAAACATTTACCTGCAATGTTCATTTAATCTTGTCTTTAAGTGTCCCCCATATGTGGTAGAATATGGTCTTGCTAGGCCAAAGGGCTTTACAGGGCACCACTTATAGCATCTAGGTAAGTAGATTTTTGTTTTATGAGACTAATGCTAATTGGCTGCCTCACAAGCAGTGTTTTTTTATAGTGTTTTTTGTAAATGCTCTAATATGCTCTGAATGTCAGCAAATCATATAACTAGAACTATATCAGTTTATAAATGCAATCAAATAAATAACAGCCTTTGAAATATGATATTCTATTCAGCCATTCTCAGTATTTCCCTTTAAAAGCAATATTGCTCTTTAAATGGAGAGTTTTTTCATGCCAGGGTGAAGAGGGAATCTCAGGGTGAGCTCTGGCGCTGACTCCCCTGAAGGACCCATGTCACCATCCCCTTTGCTCCGCGCTATGCAACCCTTCTATAAAGCGAGTGCCATTTTAAAATTGGATTTTAAATCCAGAGAGAGAACTGTTCCAGAATCTCATTGATCTGATGGACCTTAGCGTCATTTGCAGCCCAGAGCCGTGTAAGGGAGAGTTTACACCTACTTGGATTTTGTCTTTTACTTAAGCAGTGCTGTTGTCTCCTGCTGTGTAGTTTGTATACTGCTTGCAGATGTCTTTTCAAGATGGCAGAATATTTACAAAATGTCTTCTGCTATAACTTCTCAGTTTCTTTTTGTTTTGATCTTTGTTTGACAATTCTTTTTAATGACCCCTTTGGTTACTGAATTACGTGCCTCGTACAGTAAAAGCGTTAGGATTAGAATGTGTAATTCTTCCACATCCTGAACTTTCTGTGGTCATTTATGTATTTGAAAAGTGAGTATAAAATATTCAACTGTTGAAGTTTGTCTTCTTAGAAGCCATGCAAATGTCTTTTAACATGACTTGAGGCTAGTAACTAAATCACAGTTCTTAAAAAATAAATTGTTTGACACTTTCAAAGCAAAATGTTTGATTTTTTTTCCAAAATTATATATCAAGGCTACATGGAAATGTAATTTTTAAAATTGGTAAGGAGGAACAACTCTTTTGTTTCTTGATTGAATGATTTTGGGGGATGAGTGTTTCATTTTGGAAAGAAATTTGCCACAAGTTGGCTCAGAACTGTTTTAAAAGTTTCTCTGTGTCATTACCAATGACAAAGTTCTGTAAATCTCTTTGTTTTCTGCCTGCAGAATAGCTAAGATTTCAAAAGCCCCCGCCACGACACCTCTGCTAGGAGTAGCTGCGTGCAAAGGGTGAATATTTATGTATATTCCATGAAGTTGCTATGGTAAATATACCACTCTAGAGGGTCCTTTTGAATTTAAAGCTGCCTCCTTCTCCCCTTTGAACGTGGTCTTTGCTTGTCCACCGATGTGTAGCCAGCCCTTGCCAGAGGCAGGCGAGCCTTGCCAGCGTTACCTCTGCTCGTGGCCTATTTCCCCCACCAAGAGCTGCACCCAGCTGCCCCTCGGCTGGCTGCTATGTCTGCTCTTCCCCACTCTTAAAAAGAAAAGAAAAAAACTTTATGGTATAGGTGTAGGAAATGGGACTGAGTCAAAAAAAGGCTTTTATAAAGATTTGAGGTGGTTTGGTGCTTTTTTTTCCCCCCCAACTACCGAGTGGTTTGCAAAGATTAGCCACCAAATTCTTTACGAAGCCCAGGCCGTAATTTAACAAGTGCTGCCTTTCCTGTGCCACGCATGAAGACGAAACGTCAGCAAGCCTGTCTCACAGCTCGCCCCGCTCCGCCGGCAGTCGGTGCTTCAGGTGGGTTTTGAGCCCTCCCAAGCCGGGCGCAGGGTCGGCGGGAGCCGCCGCGCACGCTGTGCGTCCTGCAGCCCGCCGAGAAAGCCTTGGTATCAGTCCCCGCCGGTCTGCAGATGTTGGTCTGCACGCTGGGGAACATGAGGCTAAACTTCACAAAGTATTTGAACTTTTCAGGCTTTAACCTCTGCCAAAGCTGCACCACTGCCTGGGCTGTGGTTGATTCGTAGGTTTTTAAGGACAGAAAGGACCATTAATGCCATCCCCTGAATAGAGCAGGCTGTTAAAAGCCATCATGACTCCAAAACAAGAATGATAATTGTGTCTGATTAAAGTGTATCTTCCAGACCTCACAGAATCACAGAATCACAGAATCACTAAGGTTGGAAAGGACCTTCAAGATCATCAAGTCCAACCATTAATCCAGCGTCACTATGTTCCCTAAACCATGTCTTGAAGGGCCACATCCATACGTTTTTTGAACACTTCCAGAGATGGTGACTCCACCACCTCCCTGGGCAGCCTGTTCCAATGCCTGACCACCCTCTTGGCAAAGACATTTTTCCTAATACCCAATCTAAACCTCCCCTGGTGCAACTTGAGGCCATTTCCTCTCGTCCTATCACTAGTTACTTGGGAGAAGAGACCAACACCCACGTCGCCACAACCCCCTTTCAGGTAGTTGTAGAGAGCGATAAGGTCTCCCCTCAGCCTCCTCTTCTCCAGACTCAACAACCCCAGTTCCCTCAGTTGCTCCCCATAAGACTTGTGCTCCAGACCCCCCACCAGCTTCGTTGCCCTTCTCTGGACATGCTCCAGCACCTCAACGTCCTTCTTGTAGTGAGGACCTCATGGTTCTTGTAACTGTTCCCCTTCCTCCACACCTGCTATTTCTGTTTATTCACTCAGTGCAACATACTTAACGTCCCACTTTAGGCCCTGTAGGAAAGAAATCATGTTCTTTAAATTGTACTGCTAAGCAGCTAGGGTATGTTTGAGTGCTGGAAAAATAACAAATAATAGAAATTACAAGAAAACAATAGTTATCCAAACTTATACACTATAGCTTTTGAAGTTCTCTTATCAAACTATTGTATGAATTCTTAGTACTGCACTCTGTATCTAAGTTATTTTTTAGTGTGAATAAATAGACAATATAGCTGTTGCTGCTCCTAGAGTCAGTATAGCTCTACAAGGGATAGCTTTTGCCCATAATAACCTTTTCAACATTCTGGAAGATAATGAAAACCTCCATACTTTAAAAATGTCATTTCATTCTTTGCTAACACAATGCTTATAAAAACTGCTGAGGGCTAAGTGCAGCTTAATAAATCTCGAAACCACAGCTCCTTTGCCATTTGGAAAACTGTAACAGAGTCCAAATGTTACTACAGCATGAATGAATAATTCATGGCAACAAGATTAAGGATTTTGAAGCTAAAGAACTGTCCAATAATACCCATAGTGGTAGCAAGGTACAAAAATTCTCCTACCTCCTTGCAAGAACTTCATTGGGTAAACTATGGCATGATACCGGTCTATGCTTAGTGACACGAGGACGTAAGTCGAGGCGTATAGAAGGACCACCTGGGGCAGAAGGTATATGAGGCAGCAGTTGAGACACATTTATTGCAGAAAATGGTGTGCAGCGAGAACACTGAACTAAGAATATTTGAAAACTTTCACTGAAAAAAAGAAAAAAAACCCTTGTATTTTCACCCAGAACTTTTTCCTTTATCTTGTCCACAAAATTTAAAATATTTAATATGTTTTAATTAAAAGTATTTCAACTTTAAATTAACTCTTTTAGCATTTAGCACTACTAGATGCTACAACAATGTCTATACAGCATTTTTGTTAGGGTTTATTGCTGTGGCGACACAAAGCCACGCAAGCTTGGGCATACAGGGAGCATGAGGTTTCTATACCTGGAAGTAGCGAACAACTCTGCAGACGACATCAGGAGCCATGAAATCTCCAGTGTAGCGCCAAATGATGTCAGTCATTATGTTTATGAGTCCTGTGAATGAATCTGCAAAGGAAATGAACTGAAGAAGCATTAAGAGAAGCAACACATATGACCGCAGGTGAGCCACGGAGGCAAGTATGACCCTCGGGATGTACCCGCTCCCCCAGTCTTGAGGGCAGCCATGCCATGACCGGTCGGTCAAGGATGCTAAAGGAGCTGGGAGGGCCTCAGAAAACACTGAAAGTTTTGTGGTTTTACTTTCTTTTCCGTTGAAACCAGCCCATTCAGGCAGGCGAGGTGAGATTCCTCTAAGCATCAGAGCCTGCATCTGGTTTCCCGTGAGCACGACCTGCCGCTGCAGTTCGGGCTGGCCGGCCTTGCAAGCAGCCGGGACGAGCTGCACCCTGGAAGTGCCCTTTTCTCTCCGTGGCTAATAAAGGGGTGGGGGGTGGCCAGCTGAGATGGCCGCGTCAGCCCCGGGCTGGATGCAGGTCCTAGTCTAGCTGGGCTCACCGCCGCCTGCTAAGGGCCCCCAGCTTTTCCGTGAGGTGTGGGTAACACACGGCGCTGGAGAAGCTGTAGGTTAGTGCTTAAGTGCGTCATCTTGATCCCAGCTGTGCCAAATATTGAACTATTTAATGTCATTTTTTTCTTTGTCTTTTATTTTGCTGTAAAAAGAAATATGCCTCCTGTAAAAGCACCTGGGGCAAAATCCAAATGCTGCTGAAGTTAGTGGAGATTTTGTCAGGATTTTAACCGCAAACTTAATTATTTAATGACTAAGCCTGCCCTGTCAGCTTAAAGTTAACCTACTTATGACTGTACTTCTCCTGTAGACTGCATTCACCAAAATAAATACACCTCAGGCCATCTTTTCTTTTCTTTTCTTTTTTTTTTTTTTGTTTGAGAAAATCTGGGGAGATATTCCAGCCTTTGTTCTGCTTTTATTGAACAAATGAGCACTCACAGCGATGCTAGTTTTAGAAAGGAGTTGCAAAAGCTGGTACTGTTGTTGTACATATGGGCAATATTAAGTTTTGTCTTTAAAACCAAGATAATAAAAAAGTTCTCTCGCTGTAGGACAGGATAAATGTCTTAAGTGCTGCCTGTGGAAGAAAATGTGCATCCATCCAGTGTTCTGCCGCTTCAAATAACATAGCATGCTGCTCTTCTTGCACAGATTACCACAAGGGGAGAGATCAGGTTGGGAAAACAATTTGTGCAATTTGTCAGGACAAAAACAAGTAATACAAAGAAATAGCTTCAATCTGTATGTAAAAAAAATTTAGAGCGGTGAGGTAAAATGTTTCATTTTGACACCATTTTACACATTCAAAAACCGTCTCTAAAGTTTACTGTGATAAAGGCATTCTAACCTCCGTATCAGAAGACTTTGGTTTGAAATGTATGCTTTTGGAAACAATATATTTCAACAATTTCAAAACATATGTTTTTGAGCAGCAAGCATTTTGAAACAGTATTTGCAAACAAACAGGTATGGATTTAGCAAAACAAGTTTCTTCTAAGCCCTTTGAAATTACAGACATTCCAGACACTACTAGCTGGAAATTGAGAACTCAGTTTAATGCTTTAGAAGCAGCAACCTGTTTTGCTTCACTGGAAAACTAAGATTATTTCTTCTGTATCAGTAATCCTTTACCTCCTCTTTTTCTTCAAGGCTCGGTTCAAAATGAAATTAGAACAGAAATATCACTGCTGTTGCGTAACTACATTGCTTCCCTCCTCATGACTTTATAGTTCGATTAATTCTGCTTTGTTCTTCCCTCTTCTGGTGTTTCCCAACACATTTTCTCTCTCTTCTTTCTTCCCCTGCCTCCAGTGGATCTGGTCCTCTGGAACAGAGATGACCTCCAGAAGGAAGACTGTGGTTTGAAACCTTGTGTTAAATCTGGCTTATTGATTAGACTGTTGGGTGATTGTTCCTCTAATTGAGTATAGTGGCTTTAAGACGTTATGGAAAAGATTGTAGGTGTATATAATTAAGATGGTCTTTGAAGAAACGACAGAGTTTGTTTCAAAAAGTGAAACGCATCCTCCAGCAGTGGTTCAAACCCAGGCTTTCCTCTTTCCTTACTCCTGAATTATTGATTCATATTCTCTCTCTCTCCAGTAATGAAATATTCATAGGTTCAAAGTAATACACATCAATAGAGCTTCACCTCAGCGTATCCTCCAGCTTTTGATGGTCTGAGCACCCGCCAAGCAGGCGGTAAAGGGGAGTTCAGCTTCCCTCTGGAGGAGGAGGGTGTGGGGGCTGCCCTCCCTCCCGCCCATCTCTGTGCTCTCTAGAGGAAAGGGAGGGAAAAGGGAAGGCACCTCAGCTGTCTCCTCATTTCCCTCTTCGCACCACCATTGTGCCATCCCTTCCCAACACACTAGGAGAGAGCTTTGAAGGTGGATCCTGCAGGTGAGGTGAGAGATGGGCCAGTGTCCTGGCAGTCCCAGAGAGTGAATTTTTTAACCTGCGGTTGGCCCCCACATGGTAGAGAAACTGCAGGTGAATGAGCCTTTGCTTTGGCTGATGCTCAACCTGAAAGCGTTTCTCCAGGGGTGCCCCTCATGCACCCCATGCCATGCAGCTTCCAGGTAGTGTTCAGGCTGATGGACCACGGGGGGTCTACTTGGCCCAAATGCACAGTGTGGATATCAGCTCCATCTTTGTCATGCTACAGGTCTGTTCCCTCTGCATGGCATTACCTTAAGGCTACAGCCTTAGGTAGTTCAGGAGCTTTAAAGACAGCTCAAAACTGTCTTTCCCTTGAAAGCCTTTGAGTGAGGTTTTTCAGGTGACTGCAGAGGCTTTTAAGCAAAGTTTAAACTTCACAGCCTCTTCATGCTGGCAGCCACAGCTCCTCTCCCCCAGCGGTATATTTTAAGAGCTCTTTGTGATGAGTTTCTGGATCGCTGTGCAGGGCTCAGCACGCACTCCTCCGAGCGTGTGCCCCTGGGCACAACACGCGTGTGCGTGCCACATTAGTCAGATTCCTCAATACCCCTTAATTATAGAAACACTGTCCCACACAACATCTTCATGCCCTCGACAGGTTTCAGAAATCTCTCTCATCATTTCGATCCTACCAAGTACCAGAACAACTTTTCTCATTCCCTCGCCCATCTGCTGCCTGCTCTAGAGGGGGTTCCTTATCCCACCTCTTCAAAGGACCAGACTCTCTCAGTCTGACCCAGCTGCACACCCGTAGAGGGTTCGTCCCGCAGACACAGGTGACTTTACAGATGGCCACCGAGCAGATGATGTTCCTCGTGCAGGTGATCAGACAACAGGCAGGAAAAACGCAGCAAACTGGCAAATTATGGCAAAGACTTTGTGCTGCTGCTCCCTGCTGTATGCACCCTCATCTGTTGTTTCTGTGCCTTGTTTTCTGTTGCACACCTGTTATCCACTCTCTCGTCAGCTAACTGGTTACCCCTGTGCTGAGCATACCTGCAAGACCCGCCGATTAAGAGCACCGTATTCACTTCTTGCTCCGAATGTCCCACCTGAACATTTCTTGCTGTGTGCTCCCCGCCTCCAGCACCACAAGGACGTGGTACAAACCTTTATTAGTGATGTAGTCAATGAATGTGCTGCTCATTATTCTGTTATCTTACTGTTCGTCGCAGCCGCGATAATTAAATTTCACGTTTTTCACACCTTCACAACACTAATTTAGCCTACAAGCCGCAGTGTGCCAGTGCTATAAATCCGATACGCGGACCAGGAGTTACAGGCAGAGCGTTAGTCACTGGTAGATGAATCCTCCTCACCCACATATCATCTCGGATGCAATCACAGCCACGACCACAGTGTCTTGAAATACTAATTTGTCAAGTAATTTGAATTGCTGTGATAGAGGTTAGTGTTTGGAAGTCAGCTGATTCGGTGATGGGGTCTCAGCAGATCACACGTTCCCTGGTTGCTTTTGACAAGCCTACACCTCAATGCGTGTCGCTGGATGACATCTTTGACGTCCTAAGTGGTAAATGTCAGGTATAGGAAACCAACGTAGCCGATACGCCACTCTAAACCTCAGTGTCCTCATTACTGCTGGTATCCTCACTGCCCCTTACTAAGCTGGTGGCTTGCACATTAGATGCTTGCGTTCCTTCACTGATGAATGTTCCTGGGCCAGATAGCACCAAGCTCGTTCCTGAAAACAGTGCTAATTAACCTTCACATGTAACTGTGTGCAGGCCTGTCATCGACACTGCTTTCTCAACACTCTTTTTTTACAAAGAAGCGGTGCATGTACTGGGGTTCAGTGCCTGCATTGCTAGGCAACCGAGTGGTTATAGGCTCATTTAATTCCTCAGAAAAACAGGCAGAAAATCAGTTAATGACACATATTCTCTCTTGATAGAAAATAAAAATACCGGCAAGTGATTAGTTTGTGACTTTTAACATAAGCCAAATACATATTCACAAAATGGTGCAGACAAAATAATCCCTTGATGAAGAGAAGGCAACAGCACTAGTGTGATCGGGATGGTAGCAGTTCGCTCTTGAGGGGAGGTGGAGTTTCTATAAAGTAATTTAAAAGAAAAATTCCATGAGACTTCAATAATAAGAAAAAGTAGAGGGAGGTAGGGAGGAAAGATGGCTTTGCCTGGGGTGCAGAGGGAGGGACAAATGGCCTGTTGGGTTTCGCACAACTTGGATCCATGTGAACCGGGCAGGTCTGCAACCCTTCAGCTGCCTCCTCCCTGTCACCACCATGGCCGCAGCCAGTCCTCAAAGACAGACTAGTATCTGCCTTTACAAACCTGTCAGCTTTTCAAAATGCAGCACTTTTAAACAGCATTTATTAAAAAACCCAAGAAAACAACTGAGAATGAGAAGCAGCCTGTTGTTCCTAGAGGAGACTGACACATGCTGAACACAGTGCTACAGCACCTACGGCTGGGAAATACAGCAGGTACTGAAACAACCTACGAAAATCCTGGGCCCTGAAGACCAATTTCACCCAAGTCTCCATCGTGCTCAGCAAAATCCCTTTGGGTTTTTTATGGGCATGACTGAGTGCAGGTAGTGCCTCTACGCACCT